TATAATATAATATAATATAATATAATATAATATAATATAATATAATATCAGCCTTCTGAGAACAAGGAGTCAAATTCTCACCTCTCACCTCATCCTGAGGATCTCACAACACCTCAAGGGCCATCCCAGCTCACTGCCTGGCCTGGCAGATTGTGCCAGTTCTTTGTTCCTTCCTCTCAAGCAGAACCACTCAGTGTCACCTGGACACATCCTCATTCCTGGGTCCTTGTGGCTCTTCCTGTACAAGGGGTAGGAAATACCACAGCAGTGAGTTCCTGCATGCACTGTGGGCAATGGATTTGTAGGGAATTCTCCAAGCCTGGCAGAAGGCTCACACAGTGGGGATCTGTGTGCAAACATGGAGATGAGAAATGGTGACTTGGAAATGCCATGGGACAGGACAGACATTGCTGAGAGAGAAATGGAACTGGAAACAAGTTTCAAAGGATGGTTTTATAAATAACACTGGATACTTTGGAGAAATAGAACTATGTAAGATGCATTGTAGTAGGACCCACGAGGGGTAATTTTAGATGATTGGATTTAAGGCATTTACAGCATGGTGTGGCAAAAGCTGATAGGCCAAGAAACTCTTATATTGAAATTAGTAAATATTGGCTTCTGACTGTGATGGTGTGAATTATAACATCTGTATTGTCTCACCCTTCACACGAGACTGAAAATGGAATAAAAGTTTTCAAAACACCTCTCAGTTACCCCATCTCTGGGTCAGAAAAGGGATTAATCCAACAATGCACAACCCATTCCAGCTCTGATAATGGAAGGCCTTGGCATTGCAGCAGGCCTGGTGCTGTGTTCATCTTGTCCAGGAGCCTAAACCCTTTGTTCCCCTTCACAGACTGATTTCTCATCACCACTGGGACTAGATTTTGGAAGCTAATAAGGCTAAATCTCACAACAAATCTTTATACTCTCTTAAAAGTTAAACTGCAACTCAGCACAGACTCTATTAGACCACCCCTTGCAGCCAGGTGTTTGACTGAATGGAAATAACAGAAAATTACATTTCCTCTGGCCTAATCTGTCCTGCTGCATAGTGTTGCTCTGGCCCAGGTACAGAACTGTGCTAAGTCTGACCTATTCATGCTGTTCCAGTACATTTTGCCATCACCCACCCCCATTAACCCCCTTTCCTGGCCAGGTTTGACCCCAGCACAAGGCAAGGATTTGCACAGTGCAAGGATCAGCCAAATTTTCTTACCTTGGTAAGAGGAGGGCTACTAAGGCAGAGAATTTGGTAGCCCTCATTCAGAGTTACCAACTCCGCTCCTCTCTGTGCATTGTGAGCTCACTCCTGTCTGTGAAGGTGCTGGGAAACCTGACTCCAGTTTCCAGAGGCATTGGGCAGGGAAGCTCCAGGAGAAGAGAGATTTTCCAGTGCCCAGGATGTTCCAGGGGCTGCAGAACCTGTGCAGGTCTTTGTTCTGCATTGGAAATGGCAGTGGGAGCCCTGCAGTGTCCTTCTCCCAAGGGGTCAAATTTCACAGGTTAAACCTGTTCAGCAGTGGCAGAGAGAGACTGAGATCAGATAGCAGCAGAGGATTAAACCTCACAGAGGGGAAATGCTGCAAAAATGAAGATTAACTTACCCCCTCAGCCAATTCAGCACTCTGATTTCATGGGACCATCGTCATCTGTGCTTTCTGAAGTGATTCAAAAGGGCTGGTTCATACCAGAATTGACTTTTTCTGACAACAAATCTGTGTCCTGCTCCATTATTCTAGAATTATTTTATTACTTTCACCTAAGCGTGCTAACTCAATTCCCCAGAATGCTTCAGCTGAACACCAATCTTTATCTGAAAACTCTGCTTATCTCACAGATTCCTCCTGTCTGGCCCTTTTTAAGTAACCTTTTGCTGCCCAGTCTTTGGACAAACCAGGTTTGAGCACGATGTTGTCTTCTTATTCTGTTTTCAAATCTGGGAAACCACTCTTAAGGAATACAACTGCAATAAAACACATAACACCATGAAAAGGCCAAACAAGATTTATGGAGCAAAGAACAACACTTTCATAACAGAAACATAATAGATGATATTGAATTATCAACTTTTGAGCAAATAATATAAGACAGCAGAAGACAAGTATAATTGCAGACCCTAATCAGTGGGGACCATTTGTAAATTTGCAAACTGACTTTATTCAGATCCTAAATACTGTCATTTTGAGCATGTCCTTGTCATAATATAATATAATATAATATAATATAATATAATATAATATAATATAATATAATATAATATAATATAATATAATATAATATAATATAATATAATATAATATAATATAATATAATATAATATATCAGCCTTCTGAAACATGCAGTCAAGATTCTCATCTCTTCCCTCCTCCTGGGACCCCTGTGAACCCCACCACATGTAAACATGCAGAAAGGACAGTTGCAAAGCAAAAATTTGAAATAAAATTTCAGTAAAAGTTGCTTATAAAAGAAATCTCTGGGTTTAGTTGTCTCTAACTAAGGAGACCCACTTTATGTAGAAAGTATGTGTGTCCTGCAAACAGAGGGAAATCCTTTGCCCCTTAGGCTCAGTTTGGTGGGGCTGTGTCACCCTCCATCCTTAGAAATGGGTTTTCTGATGGTTTGTGAATTGATCTCAGAGTGCAAAAAACCAGCACAGCACAGGGGTTTGCAATGATAATCAAAAACAAATGCACCTTTGTTGAATGACCACAGCAAAATGCTTTGGGGAGGAATTGGGGAAAAAGGAAAATAAGGGAAAAAAGGGAGGAAGAGAAAGGAAGGTACCAAATGTAGCTACCAAACGTAGAAACAGGAAAGTCCTTCGATGTGGATGGAGTTCAGCAGGTCACATCAGGGGAGATCTCAGAAATTCCAATCAATTCCAACTCTTATTACACTCTTTTTTGATGGGGGAAGGGGATGAATCTTGAACTCGAATCAAAAGTAGCCTATTGTATTTTCTGGGGGAAAATGGCATTTGGGAAGGGTGCACACAGTCCATGTTCAGCAGTGGATGAGAACCATTGGTCTTCTTGGTCCACTGCTCACACCTGCAACATCCATCTTGCCTTGATCAGCCTTCCTCCCTCTCACTCCTCCCCCAGCTTGGGGGTTTCAGTCCCAGTCCTTGGAAAGATTTGGGGGGGTCTTTTCACATAGGGAACATTTCATGTCTTGGTTTTTGATGGAGAGGCTTCTCCCATCTCAGTCTGTCTGTCATGGTGATGTAAAACAGGCGAGGGGTCTTCTGTGGGGACCACCCAAAACCTCAGGAGAAGTCCAGCCAAGCTGAGAGGTGGGAAAAATTCCAGGGCTATCGTGGAATAATATCACAAAATTTCCTCCTTTTCACCATGTTCATGTAGCATACAGCAAACACACCTGTGAACAACAGCTCAGCAATGTGCTCAGGCCTCAGGGTCCTTGGCAAGCAATCTTCTCCAACAGGGCCAGAATTTCAGACAAGGGTCTTTTTTCTTCAGTGGTCCCCAATCTGTGTCCCTTTCATGACCATCGCGAGGCAGATTGTAAGAGCCAAAATGAGAGATGCAGGACTCCAGGCAGCTCTCCAAATTGCAGTTTGTTGTATCCAAAATGCAGTTTATTGTATCCAAAATGCAGTTTATTGTATCCAAAATGCAGTTTATTCCATCCAAGGTGTTACAGCAGCCCAGGGTCGTGGGTGACAGAGCTGTGCCCACAGCTGTCAGCTCCAGCTGCAGGCAGGCCTGGAGTCCTTTGGTTTTGGTCACAATGCATTCTATACTTTTCTTTTGGTTAAAATACATTCTATACTTTTCTTTTGGTCACAATGCATTATTTACTTTGCTGAGCATCTTCATACAGTAGAACCAATCTATACCTTAACTATTATCTATAGCCTATCATAACTACTGTAATTACCATATTTATGTTACTGTTCTCCAATCACTCAAAGTCAGTACATCACAGTTTAAGCCAGAAGTTGTTTTTCAGTTTTCGTGCAGTGGAAAATTCTGAGACCTTTTTTCTACTTGCAGCTTTGCTGCCTTGTTTGCCTGTGCTCTCTTTCTGCTTGGTAAAAACATCTTCTTGTTTGGGGTGGGTTTATCCTTTGCTTTAATTCATAAAAACCCCTTCTAACTAACACACCCTTTGCCTCCTTGGTTATCCAGTGAGACTGGCTCAGCAATTCTTTTCCTCTCTATCAAAACTTGCTTCCATCTCTATTCCTTCATCAAACTCTACATTCCCAAATCTTTCTGCTAAGCAGACATATCTGTGAGACTTCCTTGTCAAACTTTCATCCTTCCCAACAGCAGATGAGAGAAACTTTAGGCTTGTCCGGTCCGTCTGTCTGTCTGTCTGTCTGTCTCTGCCCCGACACGGGCAGGGTGGTTCTTGGGTGGACGCGTTTCAAAGGACGAGTCTGGACTCTTCAGCTTTTCCATCTTCAGATTGTTTATTGTTTCTTATCTACAAAATTTTCTGTCTGCCCAGCAGAGGTCTGACCTGCAAGGCAGCCAAGGGCACTCTGCCCACCCACAGGGCGGTCGTGTCTTTTTATATTAAAATCTATGTACATGATATTTACCTTTATTTTCCAATACTTTTCACCCATGTTGGCAAGTGCACCTTCACCATAAACCAATCCCCAAGTGCCAACATCACCACAGGAGATGGAAGACAAGAAGAAGAAAGAAGAAGGACGAGACACGCCCTGATCCCTCCATCTTGTCTCCATAACCCCCCTGTACCAAAAACCTTAAAGTTTATATTTCACCCTATAAATGTGTCCCTTTTACACCCTTCACTCTAAAGTGATTCTCATGTGTCCCTTTTACACCCTTCACTCTAAAGTGATTCTCATGTCCTCAAACTGCTGTCACTTCTGTGGATGGATCAAAATCAAGCCACCAAACACTCCTGGCAACATTCCAGGATTTCCGAGCCCCCCAAGGGTTCTCCTGGCATCTCTGGACATCAGGAGCGATGTGCTGAGTTCCCACACAGACTTACACTGTGAAGAAGAAAGGCCTGGCACTCTTTGTTTGAGGAGCTTTCCTGTGGCTGTGCTGGTGCACAGGGCACATCCTCTTCACCTGGATGCTGCTGGAGCTCAGCTCTGTGTCCCAGTAGTACTCTGGGGACAGCAGCCGGGTGGGTTTGTGCTGCAGGAGGTACCTGTTGAGGTGGCTCTCGTGGTGCCAGGGACCCTCAATGCCGTTTTCTCTGTCCTCCACCAGCCCTGCAGAGCAGGCTCTGGTCAGCTTGTACACCTCAGCCACGCTGCCCCCATAGAAGCTGGCGGTGTAGTAGAAGTCCCCTTGTCCCTCAGGGACGGCAGATTGTGACCCAGGCTGTGTCTCAGAGGCTTTGTTGTCCTGCTGTGGGGTGACCTGCCAGGAGCTGATGGTGGCCACCAGGGCATCGATGATCTCCACGCCGATGTGTGCCAGGAGCTGGACATTGATGTCCATGGAGTACAGATAATCCACCTCGTGCTGGAACTGCCTCTGGATGTAGGAGCTGAGGATGTCCATGCGGCTCCTGGAGAGGTCCTGCCACCGGGGGTCATCCTGGACAGGGATGACAAACAGGTGGTTCTCAGGGGCCATCTGGAGGTGGGAGATCTTCTCAGGACTGTCTGTGAACAGGTAGAAGTTCACGGGGTGCCCAGCAAGGAAGTATTCGTTGGCAGAGCTCACGAACCCTTCTATGAACTGGACATAGCTAAGAGACATGGAAAGGAAAAGAATGGAGAGGCTCCTCCTGCTGAGGAATGACAGCTTTTCAAACTCATTTTCTTTGTCTTTTTCTATCTGTTGCTCCTTTTTATGATGTTAGTGCCCTTTATTTAACTCAGCTGCTGCCCTTCAGACCTTCCCCATGCTGCTGCACATTTGCATTTTAGCTTTCACTAAATTCACATTTTAGCTTTTCACAGAACAGGTGCCTTCCACCCAGTGCTGCTCTCTAATGTCACTCCATAATGGCAATACTTCCTCTCACCCCTCCCTGGCACTCTTTCTGCAGTGGAATATTTTAACTTCCTAGAGAAAATCATAGAATCACCAGGAAAACATGGAATGGTTTGTGTTGGGAGGGACCTTAAAGACCACTTTATTCCACCCCCTGCCATGGGCAGGGACACCTCCCACTATCCCAGGCTGCTCCAAGCCCTGTCCAACCTGGATTTGGGCACTTCCAGGGATCCAGGGGCAGCCACAGCTGCTCTGGGCACCCTGTGCCAGGGCCTCCCACCCTCACAGTGAGGAATTTCTTCCAAATATCTGATCTAAAACTGCCTTATTTCAGTTTAAAGCCATTCTCCCCCATTCTGTCACTACCCAGCCTTGTAAAAAATCCCTCTCCCCTTTCCTGCAGGGCCCCTTTAGGTACAGGAGGGGCTCTAAGCTCTGCCTGGAGCCTTCTCCAGGCTCAACAACCCCAACCCTTTCAGCCTGTTCTCATAGGAGAGGGTCAAAATTATCAATTAAATAGTTTTGATTAGCTGAAGTTGCTGTGTTACTCTAAGATGCCAGTGGAGATAGAGGGTATAGAGTATAGCTCAGAAACTCAAAGAAAAACTACCCCAAGCTGTAACAGCTTGATTAATATTTTTACTAGAGCTAATATTTTACCTTTAAACTCTTACAGAAACCCAATAAAATCTCAACTCCATGGAATTTTTCTATTTTTTAGTGCAGGATAGAGGGAAAGCTTGTTCTTAGAAATGTAGCAGCAGCTATAATTTTTATTTCACTGGGCCAAAATGCTCGTTATATTTCCAAGGATTTTTGTTGTCCTATTCCAAGCAATGTCCCAGCCAATGTCCCATTTCTCCCAGTCTACAGCTGCTCACATTCAGTCTTTGGAATGTTTCTCACTTGTGGCATTCACATTCTGTGAAAAAATCCCTTCGCCCGGGGTTTTTCTCCTTTGAAGCTGAGAGGCCTCAGAGAAAAGGAAAACAATTCTTATCTCATTTGCTTCTCCTGTGTTTTGCTCATGTGTTTGGAGATTGTTTACCCACAGGTGATTGTTCCATTGGATTCTGGTTATAGGAATGTGCTCCTTGTTGACAGAGTGACAAAACTATTTTTTGTCCCTTTAAAAAGGAAACAAGCCCAGAAATTTCTCTCCTCAATTAGGTGAGAAGACACCTCATAGGACCTGGGGGACTTCACCTCAAACTGAAGGACAGAATTTACTAGAAAAAGAAGAGAACAAAGAAACTAATGCCTTTTGTGAGGTGTTTTACCAGGAGCAAGGACCTCTTGCACTTGGTGGGTTTTTCTCTGTAAAGAATTTTGTTATTTTGCCTTTTATTAGAACCTTTTTGTTTCCACCACTGCAACAGAAGCCATCCTGCTGATCTTATGCCTCCAAAGGCGGCTGAGCTATCTTGGGTGTGAAATAGATCTCCAAGAGCTGATGAGACCTGGTGTAGGAGGCAACCATTACTGTGGTGTGAGTTGTTTTGACTCTTTGGGCAATTGGGGCCAAGCTGTGTCAGAACTCTGGAAAGAGTCACAAGTTTTCATTATTATCTTTGTAGCATTCAGTAAGAATCCTTTCTGTATCCTTTAGTATAGTATAGTATTTTTAAATATAATATATAACAATTAATTATATATACAATTAATTATTACATATTATATTAAATTATAGATATCATTATTATTGTTATAATAATATAATAATAAATATAATAAATATAAATAATAATATAATATATATTATATAATATAGTATGTAATAGTATATAGTATGTATGTATGTAATAGTATGTAATAGTATATAATATAATATATAATATATAATATATAAAATATAATTAATATATAATATTAATATATAATAATATTATATATAATAGAATATATAAATAATATAATAATATATATAATTATTATTATTATTATTATTATTATTATTATTATTATTATTATTATTATTAATAATAATAATAATAATAATAATAGAGCATTCTAAAGTAATAAATGAGCCTTCTGAGACCATGGAGTCAGATTCATCATTCCTGCCTTCATCCCCTGCAGATACAACAGTGCTCCACCAGCAGCACTGCAGAGAGGTTTAACTATTTGACAAGAAATAAAGGACAAGCCAATACTTTTCAACAGCAAAAGTGACCACTCCAGTGACCAGGTTCTTCTGCAGATATTGAGCATCCAGGATGTCCCTGCTGAAGGTGCCTTCCCAGACAATTGGAGCCAGCCATGGTGTCAGCACCAGCACATCCCTTCTCCTGCAAGGGGTTGGGAATGAAGGCAGAGTTGAGATGGCCCAGGAAATTCATCAAAACGAACCCAGATGTAAGAGTGAATTCATCATTCCAGTCTCACTTTAAATCATAGCCCAGGTTTCTGCTCTTTCCTGAGTGTGGATGGAGACTCTCCAGCTGGGCTGTTGATCTCCTCCTCCTTTGGAAAGAGGAGAAGGAGGAGATCCCTAATTTGCTCCCTGATTCCTTTGGGATGATGGACAGGTATTTCCCTGATGCTTCCCAGGCTGTTGTTTACTGGCTTATCTCAGAAGAACATCTCCTTCCCACTGGGAATGGAGTTCACAGCTCTGCTGATAAGGTCAGCTATTGCTGATAGAAAGGAAGGGATGGCACCATTTTCAAGCTCAGAATGATTTATTGCTCAGACAAACATCAGTCTCAGGGGATGTGAGGTTTTAGAGGAGCAAGCATTCAGCCATAGCTCAAAGTAGTCACAAGTTCTCTGTTCCAAGGCAATATAGAACTTTTTAACCCAACAGACAATTGCCACAGGGTTTATTTTGCTTTTCTAACCTGTCACCTTTACTCACTTCTGCTGCACTATGGGTATTTTTACTCAGTCAGCCTCTAACTCACATGCACACATTGGTTTCTATGATAACTTCTAAACTCTCAGCTTATTTTACACAACCACACCCTTTTTATTTTATGTAACTCTTCAACATCTTATCAGTCCAGTTTCTCCCTTACTTCAGGCATATTCTCCCCTACAACTATAGAAATATAAATTTATGATTTTTCTGCTTAATGTCTGTGTATTGTATTTTTACATATAATTATATATATTATATATCATATATAATATATTACATATAATATATTATATATAATATATATAAAATATATATTATATATATTATATATTATATATTATTATTATATATATTATATATTATATCATACATAATATATATTCCACTATATATTATAATATATGTGCATATATTATAATATATAATAATAATTGTAAACATACAAATATATTCGTTATCTAAAATTTATATAAATAAATAAATATATTTATATAAATAAATTTATATAAATAAATTTATTTACTCATATTTATATATTTATATATTTTATAAAATGTATAAAAATAGAAAAATGATATCATATAAATAGATGTAAGTTTCTGTTTTTCTGTTCCCACACTTTGCAGAGCAGATGGGAGATTGCTGTGCTCTGTGCTGGGCAGTCCCAGCTCCCTCAGCCTTCCCTCACAGGAAACAAGCTCCAGCCCTTTCATGGTCCTTTAGCAAACTCTCTCCAGTATGTCCATACCTCTTTTATTACTTTTTGTTTTGGTTTGTTTTTCCTACTGCAAATGGCTCTAGAATAGGCAATTCCAAAAAAGAATTTATCCCAGTGACCTAAAATGTTAATTCCACAGGCATTTACACGTTGTATATGATGCTGACTGCCACCACTAGAAATAGTGTCAGCCAAGGCCTTTTGTTTTTTAGCTTCTGAGTGGTGACAAAGGATGCAAAAAACTGAATTAAGATAAAATTAAACCAAAATATTTTCAACATTCACCATCATTTCTCGGTTTCCTTTCTGAAAGTAACAAATTACAGATTCTTCCTCTATGCGTTTTTGATGGTTTCTGTTTCATGGTCATGATATTCCATTGTACCAGAGCAGGTGCACTTACCATGGAAGCATCAGAGATGTTTCATCTAAGTCTGCTTTTCTGCAAATGAAAATTAAAAAATATTAGAAATATTCTATAGGGAGAGATAAAAGGTGCATAAACGCATCGTGGCACAGAAGTTTCAGATTTTCTTTTTCTGAGAGATGAGCCCCACAAGAGATCTTTGTGTGGTTCAATATCAGTGAGCATCCAGACTCCACCACAAACACTATTTTATTATTGATATGAGTTCATATACAATGTGAACTACATTTAACAGGCTGGTGGAAGTAGAGCTGAATGCAAATTAATCAGCTTTACAATTATTTTCAACGTGTCTCTTTCTTTGGTGCATCTTTGGAAAATCCAGTTTTACTTCCACACAGTGAGAGCCTGGTCCAGTAAGGCCAAGTTTATATATTTGCACCAAGTTTGTATTTTTCTGACAGGTTTATGTCCACAGGACACAGAGCAGAGGTCACTGCTCTCCATTCTCATTGCTTGTGCAGGTTCCTGTCACTGAGTGGGAACCCACCAGTCTTGATTCCCAGATTTTCCACCAGGAAAAACAGGTTCTGTAAGGTGGAAACACTCACTAAAAGTAACAGATTAAACAGGCTAACAGAGGGAAATTAAAAGAATCACATGTAGAAGGACATCTAGCCATATAAACTTCTTTTTTTTAGGGTGGTGGTATGAAAATGTTCTCATACTGCAATCTTTTACGTTTCAAATTAATTACAAAAAGAACACATTGCTTTTGTCCTCTTGCTTTACTGGCATTAAAGTTTATTTCTCTCCATGCCATATGTGCTGGAATCCTTAGAGCAGCATTTCCAGAGAATTGCCCAACTGTGTGTGTTCTAAAAGAAGTGATGAAGAGGGGAAACCACAGTAAAAAAAGCAGTGGGGATAAGAAAAGTGGAATTCATAAGAAGTGTAATTTGTAGGTGCAAATCATAATTAAAAAAAAAAAAAAGAAAATAGTAAAATATGGTTCAGTTAAATGAAACCAAGCATTAAAAACCCAGGAAGTTTCAGTCTGGTGAACTACCAGATTAAACTCTTTTTTAATTCCATGGCTGGAATCTCTTCCTTCTCATCAGGTTTGTGGGCAACACTAAACCAGAGGGAACAGACAATCTGCCAAAGGGCCCAAATTGTTTTAATTAATACAGAGAAACCTGGATGAGGTCCTGGTTCAGGGACAGCAGCTCCCAGGTGTCCAGACCAGGTGGGATTGAGCTCCTTTTTCACTGCATGGTTTTGGTTTTGGGGGAGCTGCATCGATGGATTCCCATTTCCCCATATGAAATCTCAGGAACCTGAGCCTGCAGGGCCCTGCAGGATGGCTCCCATCAAAATGGGAATCAGCACTTCCAGGGCATGGATCTGGTGCCTAAAAATGAATCTTTTAGGTGAGTGTTGTCTTCATGGCCTGGAATGATCCTTTGGTGAACTCTCTCCTGTGGTGGTGCTCACAGGGAGCCCAGGACGAGGGGGGAGATGAGAATCCTGACTCCGTGTTTCAGAAGGATGATTTATTATTTTATGATATATGTGATATTAAAAGAAAATGATATATTAAAACTATACTAAAAGATAGAAGAAAAGATTTCATCAGAAGGCTTGAAAGGAATGGAAAGGAATGAGAATAAAATCTTGTGAGTCTCAGAGTCCAAGCCAGCTGACTGTGATTGGCCATTAATTAGAAACAACCACATGAGCCCAATCCCAGCTGCACCTGTTGCATTCCACAGCAGCAGATAACCATTGGTTACATTTTGCTCCTGAGGCCTCTCAGCTTCTCAGGAGAAAAGATCCTAAGGAAAGGATTTTTCATGAAATGTGTCCGTGACACTCTCCAGTATGTCCATAACTCTTTTATTACTTTTTTATTTTGCAGGATGAACTTACAGGAGTGAATCCTCTCCAGGGGAGGCTTTTTGTTCCTGAGTTCTGGCTGGGGAGAAAGGGTAGTGGTACCTTGGACAGGATAGGAAAACAATGAGTCAATGATAAAAAACAAAAATCAGCCTCTCCTCCACTTCCTTTGTGACTGAAACTATAAAACAAATCTAACAGAGCACACATTTGTGGGGTCAGTGTGGTGATGAGGATTTGCAAATCTCAGCTGTTTCAAGACAGGATGTGAAAAATGTGTATTTTATGATTGGCTTTTGGCAAATATTAAAATGAATATTATGTGTTATGTTAGAAAGTTATGCTGTATTAATTTTCTTAAGTAGTGTGTTAAATAGAGTTTTAGGTTATAACAGAATGTTAAAATAGAAACTATGCTATGGAAGATACTTTTTAAAGAGAGGACTCAGCAGCCACAGGACACCTGAACCTTTCAGAGAAAAAGAATTGATTGCTCCATTATCAGAAGAAATGAACTTATTCCTGCCTTGCTCAGCTCTGGAGACTCAGTCAGGATTCAGAGGAAGAAGCCGACACTGCCCAGCCAGAATCCTGTGTTTGAATGGAATTTATGCATCATGGATGAGGTGTATGAATATGCAACAGGCTGTAGCTTTTAAGGGTTAATCCTCTGTTAATGTGGGTCCTTTTTCAGGCTTATTTTGCCCAGAAAAGGTACCCGGGCTGTCCATAACTTTGTTTTTATTGTGTCATATTGTCCTAAATCCTAATTGTCCAAATTATTATTACTCTAATTACATTCCTATTTTTCTAACCATCTTATTACTATTAAACTTTGAACATTTTAAAAGCGAGCGATTGGCGTTTTTCCCCCAGGAATTTAGCCTAAAGTTATCTGCAGGTCAATCACCTCTGAGGATCTGTGAATGATTTATTTAATTTGCCCCGGACTACTTGCACCAAAGGAAATGTGGGTGCTTTGCAGCAGAGCTCGGTCTAGGCTGATGCCAGAACTCCTCTGCAGCTCCCTCCTGAAGCCAGGTGTTCACAGCATCACTTTATTCTGGCCAGTCCGTGGGATCTCAGTGTAATTTTAAACAAAAATGTGAGCATTTGAGCATTTGTGCTCACATTTGAGCATTTAAAGCTCTGCTGCGGAGAAAGTGGCTGAAAACTTTTCCTAATTCCTCCAACTGGAACAGATCTCCAATATTGTTCCAGCCAACTGTGAATTAACCCCACCTGCTCTGATTTCAGGCTCCAGAACACTGGATACACACCTGTCCTGGTGTGAAAGGAAGTGAGTTTTTGGGAGTTTGTAGTCAAACCAATCAGTGCTGAGATTTGAATATTGGCATGAAAGCAACCACCATGAAACAACTTCTGTAGATTGAAGAATATTTGAAATATCTTGATAATATATATATAATATATTTTATATATATATATGTATATATATATAAATATATATAATATTATATATATATAATGTTTTATATACATATGTATATATTTCTTCTTTATATTACTCTTGATAATACCTGAAATCCAGGTGAGGGGTTGTTCACGCACACTTTCTGTTCCTTATTTTAGAAGAAGAAAAACTACTTTCAGAATGAACAGTCCAGTGAAACAACTAAAAAATCCTTGCAGCAAATTTAACACCCAAGGGAGGCTCAAACCAACCATGATAAATAAATACAGCGAAATCAAACACAGCTAAATTCACTGCACAGAATTCCAGCATCCTTGTGCTGGTCTGGAGCACAGAAGTGTGGGATGTAAACATGAAAACACACATTTGGACTCACAGGAATACACAGAGATAATTAATCAGACTTTTAGAATGTCATAGAAGAGGTTAAAAGTGTCCACACCTTGCTTATTTTCATCTTTTGAATGTAAAAGGGGATTTTGAATTTAGCTTTGTGTAAATGCTCGCATAGGATCTGCATTAGTTAGAAGAAACCTGTCTCAGCCTGGGCAAGAGAAAGAAATTCTTGTTGAGAATAATGATCAAAGGTTAAACACCCACCAGATTGCACCAGTGATCCCTGCTGTCACTAGAATAGCCAGGCCGTGTAATTTTGTCATTCCCATCTCCTTAGTGCTGCAAAAAAAACCATTGTGAACTCTGGATTGAGAGCAAAATGGAAAAAAACCAAAACAAACACAAACCCAAAAAGGCAGCAAACACTGCAGTTATTAAATACTGGGTAAGTTTTGTTTTGCACTGCAGGTTTGGACATAATACAGAGAAAAATTAGTTTTGCTAGATGGAAAGTTTTACATCTAGGTATTTATAACACATACTACATCTTTCAACACTGAGCTCTCATTTTACAATAGCATAGTAAAGCATTTTTAATTGTTCAAAGCAATAATTCTCATTTCAGATTTTCTCTGAATCAGGTTTTATTTTTTTTTTCCCAGCCAGTGCCCTCTTTTCTTTTCTTTTTTCTTTCTTCCTCTCCCTCCCTTCTCTGTTGTCTTTCTCTCTTTCTTTCTCTCTTTTATTTTATTTATTTTTTTGTCTAGCTCTCCATTTTGACCTTGCTTCCTTGTGTTTCCTGCTCTGCCCCTCACTGCTGCAGTTCTCTTTTTCCTAATTTGAAGGTCACACACTCCTTTTCTCTGGGCCAGCTTTTCCATCCATTGTGGGGCTGTTCACAGCTGGGGTTCAGCCACATCTTCCTTTGTGCAGCCTTCTGAAAAGACTTTGGGGCGTTCTGTTTGTCCATATTGACCATCCCCAGCTTTCAGCATCTCCTCCTGCTGTCACCCCTTTCTCAGCCTAATTTCTTATTACATTTCAGTCTTACAAGCTGTGAGTTCTACAGCATTTCACTAACAAGCTACAAAATGACCCCATCTCTCTCTCTACAAGGTCTTTTAGGGGAAAAAAACCTATCCAATTAAGAAATGACACCTCAATTATTTTTACTTTTAACCCAATAACCAACCAGTTGTGGCCCACAATGTGGATTTTTTGATCCAATTACACAAAACCACCCAAACCCATGGAGAAGAAGGAGAAGGTGAAGGAGGAGAAGAAGGAGAAGGAGGAGGAGGAAAAGGGAAAGAGGAGAAGGAGAAAAAGGGAAGGAGGAGAAGAAGGAGAAGGAGGAAAAGGGAAGGAGGAGAAGAAGAGGCAGAAGGAGGAGAAGGTGAAGGAGGAGAAGGGGGAGAAGGTGAAGAAGAAAGAGAAGAAGAAAGGAGGAGAAAGAAGGAGGTGAAGAAAGAAGGAGGAGAAAGAAAGAAGGAGGAGAAAGAAAGAAAGAAAGAGGAGAAAGAAAGAAAGAGGAGAAAGAAAAGAGAAGAAAGAAAGAAGGAGAAGAAAGAAAGAAGGAGAAGAAAGAAAGAAGGAGAAGGTGAAGGAGGAGAAAGGAGAAGAAGAAAGAAGAAGAAGAAAGAAGGAGGAGAAAGAAGGAGGTGAAGAAAGAAGGAGGAGAAGAAAGACGGAGGAGAAGAAAGAAGGAGGAGAAAGAAAGAAAGGAGAAGAAAGAAAGAAGGAGAAGAAAGAAAGAAGGAGAAGGTGAAGGAGGAGAAAGGAGAAGAAGAAAGAAGGAGAAGAAGAAAGAAGGAGGAGAAAGGAGGGGAAGAAGAAGGACCAGCCACCACCCTAAAACCTCCATCTTGCTCTTTATTTATTACTATATTCTAAAACCCCAAACTCTAAGTTTTCCACCCTGTGATGTCACACACTTCTATCCAAACCCCACACCCACAATCCCAGTTCTGTCACTCCATTTTGGAAGCTTCTCCATGGCCTCAGGTCAATGCAGAGTTCTCCTGGGGCTCAGTGCCTGGCAGCACAGAAACTCTGAAATTCTCAGGGTTCCAGCACTTACCTGTGTTTCTGCCAATGCTCACACCCCAGCAGCTGCTGTTCTCTGCTGCTCCCAGCCCTGCTGAACCAGAACCAGCTCCCAGATCCTCCTGTGTGTGTCAGCCCTGGGCTCGGGGCCAGCAGGAACCTCCACCCAAATCCTCACCTTTTGTGGGAGTGCTGTCACCTGAGCAATGGGCAAACAACAAGAAACCTGCAGCAGGCGGTTATTCTCTGACACTGAAACATTTGTGGGTTACCTAAAAGACAAAATTAAGGGGATGAAAGTGGTTTTATTGATTGAAGATAGGTGTTTATTGAATGTTTGGGTGTCTTCTCTCGGCTGTATCTCACTCTAAGCTGGAGGCACGTTCAAGGAGTTGGATTTCCCCTCTGAATGGTGGCTTTCACACCTAAAATACTAATGCTACTTAATTCTTGAGTACTGTCTCTGTGGAACCTCAAGTAATAGTCAACACCAGTGCAATAATAATTTAATTTCATAGTTGAGACAGAGACAACACAAAGCAACACACTCCATTTTCAGAAGGTTTCAAACTGTTTTTATTATAGCCTGGATGCTTTTTATACATTCTTACAAAGCTCATAAGTTTACACTTTACTCATTGGTCACCAGAGACAAACAAAGTGCTCATTGGAACAGGCAGTTGATGTTTCTCTTATTTATCCTTCTTTCTTTCTTGGTTTCTGTGTCAGCAACCTTGGTAGAAAATTCTTTCAGGGGTAAACATGGAACCTCTTCTCAAACTCCTCTCTGGCTCACAGAAGTTGCTGTAAAACCTCTTCCACAATTTTATGTACAGAGAAACTAAAGAATTGATGAGTGAAGAATTTGACTGGTCAGAGCTCCCCATCATGAGCCACCAGGAAAGTACAAATGTCCTGAATTCTGCTCTGATGCCTTGTCACACAGACAGCACTGACTTGGGAGAAGGGAGGAAAAAAAATATGAATAGTGCTACAATAGTTAGCACATAAAAAAATTTACAAGCAAACAACCAACAGCAGCAGAGCAACACCTTCCATGAGGTTTAGAACAGGCAGTTGATGTTTCTCTTATTTCTCCTTCTTTCTTTCTTGGTTTCTGTGTCAGTGATCTTGGTAGGAAATTCTTTCAGGGGTAAACATGGATCCTCTGATCCAGCTGCTCTCTGGCTCACAGAAGTTGCTGTAAAACCTCTTCCACAATTTAATGTATGGAGAAACTAAAGCACTGATAAGTGAAGAGTTTGGTCAGAGCCCCCCATCATGAGCCACCAGGAAAGTACAAATATCCTGAATTCTGCTCTGATGCCTTGTCACACAGACAGCACTGACTTGGGAGAAGGGAGAAAAAAAAATATGAATAGTGCTACAATAGTTAGCACATAAAAAAATTAACAAGCAAACAACCAACAGCAGCAGAGCAACACCTTCCATGAGGTTTAGAACAGGCAGTTGAAGTTTCTCTTATTTCTCCTTCTTTCTTTCTTGGTTTCTGTGTCAGTGATCTTGGTAGGAAATTCTTTCAGGGGTAAACGTGGATCCTCTTCTCAAACTCCTCTCTGGCTCACAGAAGTTGCTGTAAAACCTCTTCCACAATTTAATGTATGGAGAAACTAAAGAATTGATGAGTGAAGAATTTGACTGGTCAGAGCTCCCTATCATGAGCCACCAGCAAGGTACAAATATCCTGAATTCTGCTCTGATGCCTTGTCACACAGACAGCAGTGGCTTGGGAGAAGGGAGAAAAAAAATATGAATAGTGCTACAATAGTTAGCACATAAAAAAATTTACAAGCAAACAACCAACAGCAGCAGAGCAACACCTTCCATGAGGTTTAGAAAAAAGAGGGGAAATTGTTCCCTCTAATTCTGTTCCCAGCTCTCTTGGGCTTTGAAGGATAATGTACTGGGAGATATTTTAGCATCCTGGGAAATCTCCTGCTCAGCTGAAGTGACAAAAGCCTGCAGGAACTGTTTGTGCTCTCTGCTTCTAACAAAGCAGCCACCAACAAAGCAGCTTCCAGCCACTGGAGAGAAGCAGAACAGCACAGGGGTAAGGTTTAGCTAAATGGAGGAGAGAAAAACATAGATATGGTACAAAAAGCCTTTAATTTCTTTTTCTTTAGGTTTGTTAGAGGTGTTTCTTCTCATCTGATCTCACCTGGGCTCTAAGAATTCCAAGATAAGTTGTGAGTGTCTTGGAAATGGCATCCCCAGTTTTTATCAGGAATTGGAGCAGGATGGCTTCAAACTGAAAAGGAATGAGTTTAGATTAGAAATAGAATGAAATTCTTCCCTGGCAGGGTGGGCAGGCCCTGGCACAGGTGTCCAGAGCAGCTGGGGCTGCCCCTGCATCCCTGGAAGTGCCCAAGGTCAGGTTGGACGGGGTTTGGAGCAGCCTGGGATGGTGGAAGGTGTCCCTGCCATGGCAGGGGTGGGTTGGGATGGGCTTTAAAATTATTCCAACCCAAAACCCTCTAGGATTCTCTGATTTTGTGATTCTGGGATGCTGTGAGCACTTTTCAAGAGAAACATGGGCATGTTTGTTAAAGTGTGAGAGAGAAGAGAGAGGGATTGCTTGGAAAGGAAAGCAGAGCTGGATTTAACAGAATAAAAGACCAGAAATATGGAAATTTCCTATTGTACTTTATGTGCTTTTAAAAATCTTACAACCTCTGTTGAGAGTATAAGTTAAATATAACCTTTCTCTCACTCTGTGTTTTCTATGCAATAGCAGAGCTTCTGAGCATGTTTATGTGGTAAAAAAGGCATTTCTATTTTACTTTCAGTGGACTAGAATGTAAAAAAATCATCATTATTTTTACATTGAAAAGCTTCATTCTTGAAACATGGAAATTTTCTTTCTGTGCCACCAGAGAGTGATTCTGTTAGTTGAGGGCAGGAACCTGAAATGCTCCAGTTAATCACCCTTTTAAAATTAAATTAGTGTCAGTCAATTCTGACACTTTAAATTCTTTTAATTTAAAATCAAATTAGTGCCAGTCAATATTCTAAGGTACTTTAAAGTAGATCTGGAATTTTTAAAGCCTATAATAGAATGGGGAACTATAATTTTTCTTTTCTCTTTTTGATATCCTTTTGGTTCAGGCACTTTTCAATTATGGTTTGTATTGTACAGCATGCTAAATCACTTAAATTAGGTTTTTCCCTTGTATTGCTTGAATCTCTACTGGCTACACTGGAAAATGAGTTACCTGCCTTTCCTGTCAGAATTTACCACAGCTTAAATCTCATGGAAGGCTGG